TGTAAGCGCTGTAAGTACAAGCTGACTGTTTGAAAAATTGTAGTGGCTGACAACAGCTGTCCTGTGGGCAGAGCCCAAGATAACAGGAGCGCTTTTTAGTATTGTTTTGATTTGTTTTAAAATAAAAACATTAGGGCACGGGGAAGATTATGACACGTTGTACCTAGTAGTTTATTAACCACAGGGTTCCATCCAAAAAGTGTAATTCTTAAGCCCCAAATTATCTGAGCGGTTAGAATCATTAAGAGATCATTACAAATTAATTGTTAATCATTACTATTGTTGTGATCCATATAAATAAATACAGTACACGATTATGTTTTTGTCAGAAGATTACTTCATATCTCTTCTGATATTAAAGCTCTCTCTATATGTATTTCCATTGCAACACACATAACTTTTCCTACAGTGAAGGTGACATGAGAAAATGAGGAGGGAATTAACATTTTGAAGGGACAACAGATAACAAAAACAAATTGATATGACTTTATCACATTTTAAGCAAGGAAATCCTTTGCTTCAATAAACAAATTTCCCAAACATTCAACAGGCTCATCTTCAAAAGGTGAAATAATAAACATTTGCCAAATTAATGTTTTTCATTTATGAACACTTTGTATGACTTGAATCGTCTTTAAATATCAAAAAACAAGATTCTTAACTTTTAAATTTCACTGAAGGTATTTGTGATTCAAAATCAGTATACGAATTGCTGATGATTCATAGCTTATATTTCTTGGGAGTTTTGGAATGCGTTTAAACGTAGTTTTGTGAAGATTCAGTAAATTTAGAGCTGTCATTGAATGTGGGCACCTTTTTTTTTCATGTTTAATTTCTTAAAATGACCAGAGGTACAAAAAGTTGGTAGTTCAGCTTATAGTGTAGTTTTATAGGTTTGGCATTATATTTTAATGTCTTGCAGAGTAGGTTTTGTTTAAGATTTGTGTGAGTCTTTTCACCTACTGCTTGAGGTTTGAGGACATGCATATATGAATAGTCATGCTTTTTTGCGTTATCAAATATTTGATATTTGACTTTCTCACTGCTTGAATTCTCCTAAGGCCCAAAGTGTTCAGTAAGTGAGCAAGCAGCCATGGATTTTCAATCCTGAAAATACTTTGTGGTGATAGACAGAGGAGAGTAATTGAGCCACCATTCAGTTTTAGAGTTGCCAAAAAGAAGTCAACTGCTATATGAATTTTGTAGACATGATAAATGATTTTCTCAAGAAAATATTTCCATTTGAATGAGAAAATTCATAAGAATATGTGGAAAAGAAAAAAGAAAACACTTGCAGCGAAAATAAATCCACTTACATTTAATCAGATATTAAAAGTATTTCATTCAACGGTGTATATAATGCTAATTTTGAAAACAATCCATTAAAACTGTATGTAGAATCAATTTCATTTAAATATTTGCTTTTGTTTTCCCTGGGACTCTATTTTGTCATTTTCCTGAAGTGAGATACTTCTAAACATAATACAGTGTATTACATTAAAAAATATTAGAAATATTTTGATAAAGAAGAAAGTGTTAACATTTTAAAGACATCTGCCTCTTTCAAGAAGTTTATTTCAATTTTAGGTTTAGGTTTTTATATTAGAATTGATGCCATAGTTAGAAATATTGATTGAGAATTTTAATAAGAGTGTATCCTACTTAAAAAGCAGACTTATGCCTAAGGCGCTTTTTTCCCTATAAAATATAAATTTTGATTACAAAATTGCCATTGTCTTTCAAATTTGGGAGTACTCAGGTTGATCTGTTGTTGGACAAAACCAGCTAGCCTGCCAACTCTATTTATTTAGATAAGTTCAGTACTTTCACTTTGAAAATTTCTTTTTAGTTTTGGGAAAAAAGTTTTAAATTATAGTCATTTTATAAAAATTGCTTCTAGCAAGCAAAAAAAGCCTATGGAAAACCCATAATTTAGACAAGTACCTACATTTTATTTGCTGTGTGCTGCTGAGATCTAGAATCCCTTTCCATTTACAGTTTACTTTTCACAGAACATTATTAACTTTTTGGCTTCATACATGATCTTCTGTCAGATGCTTTTGATTTGTAATTTAGCAAAGTATAATAAACAGTGCAAAAGTCATGAATTTTGCTCTGCATCCTGAGCTCTGTGGTAGGGAAAATGTGATAAAATGTGTACCTTAAGTCTTGTTTGATGATCTCTCAAAGCAAGTTTGCCTTCTGGAAATAATTTCTGGGGTTGAAGAGCATGGTATTAACAGATTTAATGTGGCTATTCAATGGATTGGCGAAGTACTATGTGAGGTTTAACAAAATGAGAGAGACAAATTGAACATCAACAAAAGTTACATCTGTGAAGAATTATAAATTTAATTAGAAAAAAGGCAAACTTAAAAGACCTCATTAACTAATCAGAAGTCAAAGTTACTAGTTTAGAATTCTTGAATCTAAATTCTAAGAAGTTCTACTATCTTTTTCTTTGTATTTTCACAACTCTGACTTCTATGCCACTATGGGTGTTCTATACAAAGCATTTTAAAAAGCATTTACGTGAAATGCCTTCATTGTAATATAAGTTGACCATTTGTAATGTAATGGGAAATATTTTTGCATTCATAGGAGCATTTGAACTAAAAATACCAGATTAGGAGAAGACAAGCAACATATTAAGTTTATGGATAGTAAAGTAGAAATTATGAGCTTACTGAATGCCTAACAGCATTTTCCTGAAAATTAGAAAATAATTTTTTCACCTTTGAGTGGAAATATACCTAATTATTTTTGAAACACCTTGTGATTTTTAAGAGAACATTCCAAAGATATTGTCAAAAATAAGAGAAAATCTGCATCAATCAGAAATAGGTGTTCTTTTTAGATAAGTCATTATAAGAGTATGTTTCCTTACTGCACTGTAATCTTGTACTACACATAAAAAACTAAAAGCATGTGAAGTGTAGCATTTTGTAAACTGTAACTAATTTTGCTCACATCTGTGTCTAATTGTTGTCTGCATTCGCATTCTTGAGAGTAGATTTATTTTTCCTGGACCACGATGTGGATTCAGCTGACCAGCCTAAGTGAGGATTAGTTGTTTTAAAGTTATTTTGATTAAAGAGTCATTTTAAAATACAGTAACACACAACACATGGTTTAAATAATCCTTGAGACACAAAAGAATATATCTGAAGTATACTTAATGAAATGAAGATCATGGATATGGACTCTCAGAAATTGTAGTGTATGAAAGTACAGTAGAGACTCAGCTGAGCCAATATAGAAGAAATATGTTTAAAAATGCATTTTCAGTAAGAAAATGTGCTGTACTAATTTTATTTTGAAGTTCATTTTTTTATTAATAGCTTGATTTGAATATTGAATGTGATAGGTTAAGGCTTATCTATAAATATAATCAAAATTCCAAAGTATACAGTGAAACTTTATTTAGCTAATGTTAAAATGGGAATGTATTTTTACATACTCTTTCACATAATTAAGCCAAGAGAGTTCTTAAAACTAAGTTAGTTCTCACCTATAATTTATTCCAGGTGTATAAAAGTGGGGAAAAAGTAAAAAAGGAAATTCATCCTTGAGCTATTTGCTACAGTTTCTAAAGGAGAACATTTATTTTTTGTGAGAACATTAATTTTAATAAAAATAGCTGCAGACTATTATCAAAAAATTACATAGCTGCAAATATTAAAATTAAATTTTCATTTAATAATCAGGCATCTCTTAAGAATTATTTTTCGCCCTGCACGTAATGAGAAATGGTTCCTAGAATGTTCATGTAACTGTAATGTTACACTAAGATATTTAGACTTTAACGATGCTTTATTCTTGCTAAAAAGGTAGTATTTCTTAATTTCATAAGTCATAATTAAAAAATAACAGGACTCACTCGAAGATATTTGGTTGGATAACTTTAATGCTATTTGAGATGCTTCAGTTCTCATCTTTGTTCTGTAACTCTAATTGATGTCAGTTCAGGTTGAATGAAAATGCACATCAAAGATGCGGAATTCTGAGCCATTTTAAACCTTATGCAGAATGCTCTCTACTGCCTAGGCGTTAGCCTGAGCTTGCAAGCCAGCAGCCCACCCTCACCTGGGCTTCCCACCTGCTGGCAGTTTTCTTAGATGCCTCTGGAGGAAAGGTTGAGACCGCCAAAACCTGCACATGAAGGTAGTACACAATCCTCTAAAGACAGAAAACCCAAAAGTGCAGCCTAACTGGGATGTTGAACTGATTATCAAACTATCCATTCTCTTTCCTGGTTTAAAAGATGGAAAATTAACTAAAAGGCAAGCTTTTTTTCTGTTTGACCAAGGAAGTGATGAATAAGCTGTCATTGAATCCTACAGTTGCCTGAGTAAATGAGCACATTGTCAATGATGTGACTTTGTATGTGAAAACTTGCCTTTGCCATGTATCGTTAGTCCAGCATGGCCTGAAAGTTGCCCAGAAGCTGTTTCAGTGAATGTTAAGTGACAAATAGTAAATATAAGAGAAAACCATCATGATAAGGATAAGAAACTGTCAGGAGTCAAAGGGGTGGGCGGGAACTCTATTTCAACTGGTGATAGCAGAAGATGAAAGATCTTCTGAGGATGCTGGAGGATTATTACTTGGGCTACTGCTGTGAAACACACTCATTTTGCTAATAGCTATTTTTTTCCAAGCACCTTTTCCAAGCTGCCTGGGCAAGGCTGCTTTGCATGTTGATTGGGGGAGGGGTAATCCCGTTTGCAGCTGTCATAGGCCAGTGATGAATCACTATCCCGTCATTTGGCTGCCTTCCCCCCCCCCCCACAAGGGGAGGAGGAGGGTAGACCTGCAGGAGGAAACAACAGTGGAGACCTCAACTTAAAGACAATATGCCTTTCACTGCTGCAGCATCCTCCTTTTTCTCTTTTGGTTAAAAGAGAGCATTGTTGTTCTCAGCCATGTGCTCTGTATAATTAAGAGCTGACACTGAAGAAGAGTAACAACAGCTTCTAATTTTTTACCCCTGATCACAGGTGCAAACATCTCAAACCAGTTCAGATGTTGCTGTTTCCTCAAGTTGCAGGTAAGGATATTGTTGATATTTGACATTTTTGGAGATTACCTTTCTCTGACCCATATCTATTTTTGTCTAGTATTTCTTAATTATTTCTATTAATAGCAACAGCTTCGGTGGTTGGAAATTACTTAACAATTTGTGTGTGTGTGTGTGTGTGTGCTTGTAAAACATTTTAAGTATGTAGAAAGGGAATAGGAGCCTGGGTTTAAAAATGATTATGGGCTATAGTTTCTGGTGTTAGGAAAACTGTGAATGTGTAATAAGAATTAAGAGAGAAAAATTGGATCTTAAGCCATTCCTTGTTTGAATTCAGAAAACTTGGGGAAGTAAAACTCACTTTAGAAGAAAAACAGTTCATGTTAAACTTTTAAAAACTGGTATTTCGAGTCAGTTTAAAAGCAACCTCGAAATTAAAATGACTAGCATGATTGACCTGGCGGGGTAAGGAGCACAGTCTTAGCTTCACATATGTAACACTAACCCCCAGCCCCCTCCCCCTTTTTATTTTTAAAGAAAAACACGTAAAGTTTAAAATAAAGCCAATAGGTCTTAGACTTTCAAAAACTTGACTGTCAGAAAACAGCAGTGTCTAGCAGTTTTAGTCTCTTTAAATATATCCTCTCCTCTCTTCATTAATAGAATATTAAATATAAATGGACAGTTCTTACACTGTGAACCTAAGTAGGGGCTTCTGGAGCTTTTAGAGAATAACTACCGAGTCTAAGAACTTTCAAGGAGGATTTAACCACTTTTATCTGGTAAAAATGCAAAATTACTACACTGAAGTAGAATTGTTCTTGCTTCCCTGAGTAAGTGACAGCTGAGGTATTCCGTGTGCTAATGCTCCTAGGGACTCACTGTATGTTGGCCTTATCCCTTTTCAATTGGGCACGCTGTATGTAATCCACAAAGCAAACAAGTGAGCCGACATCATAATGTTTTAATGCTGCATTTGTTTCAAGGGAAACAGAGGAACAATTAAGCAGTTTGCCAGAGTAAACACATGCATCAGGACTATCTCATTCCCTGTCACTAGACTATAGGCTTCGAGTGTTTTATTTGGTTTGCAGACCCATTAAATTACAATTGGGTAGTAAATTATAAGGGAGTACCTAGTGCTAATTTATTAGATGAAAGAGTCCATAGAAAAGTGATTTTTTTTTCCTATTCAACTGGTTTACACATCTGTCTTTTAGATAAAATAATGCCCAAATTTTTTCAGTATAAAAAAAACCTGCATTTTTTTTCTTTGCAAATTAAAATAGGTGTAATTGTCTCATTAGATCTGTGCCTTGATGAAATATGTAAATGAAAAAAAGAGAGATTTTAAAAACTCCATGTGAATATTTGGCCGGATAGGTAAAGCAAATGACATCTTTTAATAGTAAATGTTATGAAAGGATGACTGAAGTTAAACTGTAAGAGGAACTATTTTCAGTCTAAGAAAATAGATACAATGGGACTTTTGTACGAATGTGTTTCAAAGAAGGTGTCAAGTCGTTAGCGCATTAAATAGTGGTGTTATGAATTTGGTACATCTGTCAAACGGAAGACTTCTTGTCTTTAGGTCTATGGAAATGCAGGATCTAACCAGCCCGCATAGCCGTCTGAGTGGTAGTAGTGAATCCCCCAGTGGTCCCAAACTCGATAACTCTCATATAAATAGTAATTCCATGACTCCCAATGGCACCGAAGGTGAGTGTCTGCCTTCTCACTGTTTACTTTGCACCTTGTTTCTTCCTCAGTATGTGCTTTGTTATTAGGTGATTATGATTTCAGTTGTCATACCCATGAAACTACTCTTTCCCTTGTAGGTAATTTGACTATGAATCAGTATTAGCTAGAAGCTGCACATTGCTAAGTTATTACAGCATTACATAGACTGGTTTTACTTTGCATAACTGCATACATCTATATGTATTATACATACATGACATTTTTAACCTTTGAGTGTATTCCACCTTGTTGATCATTCTTCATAAGACAGTATCAATTTGCATTGAGCAGTGAATATTTGGAATTATTTATTTTTCTTTTTCCTTTTGTTACCAAGTATAATCAGATTTGTTTAAATGTAGCATTGGAGTGGATTGTTTCCAAATATCATTAAAATAATTTGCCTGTTCTTATGGCTTTGGCCATTAACATATAAATAAGTTAAAAAAAACACCTTATTCTTTATAAATATGCAACCTTGTTTCGAAGAAACACAGAATTTATTAAAGATGAAATAATTTGCTTTAAACATAGTGCTGTTACAAATTATTTTTGTTTAATTAATGACTAATTTTATGTAAATAGAAATACCAACTTTAATCCATATATTATGAAAGTCTAAACATAAAAATTAAGCTAATATATAAATATATATATTCTTGGCTATAGTGCATATTTATATAGATACTATTTATATTATTAAAACTTCAATATATGGAATGATGTGTTAAATAATACATTGTTTTTATTTATTTCTACTTTAACCTGTTGAAAAAATTACCTCTTTAAAGATGATAATTTTTCTTATTCCTTACTAAGCTTTAGGACCTTGATGCGCTTAGAGAATGTAAGTTTCACTAGAAGTTCAATGAATTATCCATATTAGGATTTCGTCCATAAAACAAAACCTGTTACCATCATTTCCCAATCACCAGGGTGATCTTTTATTACAGATTTAAAAATGAACAAAACTAAATGCTATAAAATTGTTTGGTACAATTTTCCAGTATGTTTTCATGTAGCCTTTTGATACTAGTCATGTTATGAAATTTATGATAATAGAAAAAATATAAAATCATTTGTTTCTGATATGAGACATTTTAATTTTTGTTCACCAGTGGTTGTTTTTGTCTGTAAATAGTCTGCATTTTTCTTTGCAAGTAAATACATTCATTTCAGGTATTTATGAAAAATGACCACTGTCACAAGAAGAAATTTTGTTTGATTGCAAAAAATTAATCTCTGAATAAGGCACTTTTTCATTTGAAACTTTTCTTCCAATTACAATAGATAATCAAAAAGAAATTTGAGTAAGGAAAGCAATTCTAGCATTTAAGTAGATTTTATAGAGCAAATAAAATAAAGCATTCCTTCTTTCTTACCTTTGGAATTTGGCTTCAGGTGCAAGCATGGCTGTGCATAGTATAGGCTGGGTATATGCTTGGTAACATAGACTATTGCAGGCCCCTGGGCTGGTGAGCCTCAGGCTAGTGTCAGGAGGCAGGGTAGCCACTGAGGGCAGACCTTGAACATTAAGTCACATCACTGTCAAATCCCAAAAGGCACTCGTTTAAAGTAACTTAAAGATTAATGAGTATGTTAAATTGCTTTTGCTTAATAGAATCTGCCAATACATAGTGGTAGGAGTAATTATGAAATAATGATAGTTCATTTTCTTATAAATGAAGAAATGAAATAGGGGTAAGATGTTTTAATTTTGTCATCATTTTGCTGACAAATCGTCTCCTACCAAATAAGAAGCAGGCAATATTGAAACACATTATGTGTTGAGGACTGCCCCCTTAGATGGCTTTGTGTGAAGGATGTGTGATTTGTTTGTTTTCTTTTTTTAGGGCATATAGGGTAATTTATATCTGAATATTTCCATTTAATAGCTTGGTGTCATGTTCATATTCAGGAATATTTACTTGGTAAGATTTTTGCGTAACTAAAATAAGTTCAAAATAGTAAAATATGTTAGTTGTACAATCTGCTGAATGATTCAATCTGGGAAATACTTGAAATTATTCCTTATCCTAAAATGAATAGTTATATGTTGAAAATGAATTTTGTAGACCTATTTCAGGCAAATACATAGTCATTTTACTCTTCTTACAAGCATTCTTCATTGGTGTACTTTACAGGGGTTTTGGTAGTTAGAAAGTGAGGTTAGAAGGTATTGGTATAAGTTATGCAAAGATAACTGCAGTTCTGGTCAATGTACTGTTATATTCGGTTTTATTTAGTATAGAGTTTGAAATTATGGACCCAAGCTTACTGTGATTTGTGTTACAGGCCTATTTAGATGTAAACAGTATCAGAAAGTTCAGAGTGATTAGGTTTGTGAATCAATTTGTGAATCTGCTTATATGTTCCATAAGCATGTTTCATTCCTCTCAGTCGCCACTAGAGGAGTTAAACTTAAAAATTAGTGAACTTGTAATATTTGGCAAGCTTCCTTGGAACTTAGTCATTATAGATTTTCCTATTCCTTCTTTGAAATCTTATTTGTTTTGAAACCAGCAGTTTACCCAAGAATTAGAGAAATGAAAAATAAGAAATTCATTAAAATTTAAAAGCATGTTTAAAATATCAATCACCTTCCCTACCTCCATCATACGTATTTCTAACTATATATGCCATGATGTATGTTTAAGTGATTTCACTAAAACCCAATTGAAACTAGTCTCCTAATTAGGTCAACAAAACTTCCATTTAGTTTATACAGTTGTTGGCTTTTCCTGTATTTATGTAGGTTGTCTTCGCTCAGGACCATTTTTTTTTTTTTTTTTTTTTTTTTTTTACTTCCTGCCACCACTTGTCCCTATAATGAGGCTAAGAAAACATGAAAATCTCCTGTATCAAAAACCATAACTTCATCTGAAGAACAAACAAGAAGGGAATGGAATGGAGAGGCAGAGAATATTAAGTTTCTTCTTAAGTCTGCTGCCAAATTATCATAAGACTCAATGTTTGTAGGTTCTGTACTCACAGGCTAGTGCCTATTTTCATGGTTCATCTAAGGGATAAAGACAGAAAGACACTGAACTGCAGCCTCAAATACTGTGCTTTTTTATTTCCTAGATGAAATGTGCTGCAGTTGAAATATTTATTGTAGTGTTTCATATTTCAAAAGTTTCAACAATTCATATTTTTGTATTCTGTTCTACCTCTAGATCGTTATTGTTGCAGTTAAATGTTGGTTTCACCCAATTCACCCGGCTTTGAAATATAAAACATAAATGGGTAGAAATATAAAATATAACAGAAATGAATGCTTGACTTGCATTAAGAAAGCACTGTTAGAAATGATATTTTCTAAATGAATTAATATTTTAGTTACTGTTAACCAATTAGAGCTTGAACTGAAAAAAGACTATTGGATGGTTATGAAAACTATTGTGACTTTTAATTAATTTTCCTGGTCTCTTGGACAGTTAGTTTTCTAGGACAGTACTGAATGGAATTCTCTTAGATTGTTAAAGCATAATTTTTAAGAAACAGAATTTTTTTGGTGGCAGTGCTTCCATTAGATAAATATTAAAGCATCAAATATGAAAGGATTTCTAATGGATAGTTCACACCTCTTTGAAAGAGGTTGTGTGTGGATGTTTGTGTTGTGTAAGTGTGAGATGGAGCTGAGAAATGTTTCTTCTGAGGCTAGAGCAGTAAAAGGGTTTTTATTTATGTAGCCAATTAAGACTCTGTTTGCCAAGCAGTGATTCCTTCCATCTTTGTTGTCTCTGGATGTCTTAAGTCCATGGGAGTCTCAGATTATTGGTCAGTTCATATATTGCTAGTTTGTTTATTTTTGGTTGTTTGGGAGTGAGGAGGGGGGAAGGAAGGGTAAAACAGAGGTGCAAATGAGCAAAATTAGTAGCTCTAATTTAGAGTTTTCTCTAGTATGAATTTAGATTCAGACTCATCAAGAAGCTTAAATTTGTCTTAAAGCAGATGGATTTGCCTTTAAGTGACATAAAACCAGATGCAATTGGAATCTTCACTACAAATAGAGTTTCAGAAACTCTGGAGGTAATTCAAAGAGTAATTTTGAATGGGTATATCAGATTTCAAGATGATAACAGATACAATCTTGAACTAGGTGGCTAAATTTTCTGCATTTTAAAATTTATTTAATTGTATATTGCATATTTTAGGATGATAGGTTAATTCAATTTTACAAATTTACATCATCAGAAGCTATTTTAAAGTTGTCTCATTACTTTTACAAAGCTCTGTGCAAATCAGTTGGATTTATTTTTTCTCACTAATTTTAATTTAGTAAAACAGAAAAATGCCCAAATAGTGTATTTTTAAGAATTCTTATTTATGAGAAATATGTAAAACTGGAGTGAATGTGTATAAAATTATGGTTTGAGGCTGATTTGAAAGGCTATATTTATATATCTGAGGTCAGATATTCTGCAGTCAATAGAAACATGGTAATCTAACTTTATCATGTTTACATTCTTCACATGATTTAGTCTCTGTACGATGAAGGGCATTGTGAATAAAAGAATTTCTAAATGATATTTTTAGAGTTTGTAGTCACAGAACTGGCCTTTTAATAAATTTTTAAGTAAAAACCAATGAAGAGTGAACAAATTAATTTGCTAATATTTAATAATTGCCTGTATTGTATATGAGAATAATTTTCACATGCCTGTTGCTAATTAATGTATAATGTTTATGATTCCTAGATTCCAAATATTTTATAATCTAGAATGACATGAGATTACTGAATGTCAGTTATTTCTATCACAGGAACTTTGCAAAAAGCAAAAAAAAGAATTTGGAGTACCTTTTCCAAGGAATAATTAGGTTAGTCATTCTGCTGATCATTCTCCATGTTTTGTTTTATTAATTTTCAGAAAATTCCTATGAGAGTGCCAACATAATGGTTAAGAAACTGGTTTTGAATCCCAGCTTCACTGTTCACTAGCTGTGTGAGCTTAGTTGAGTTAGCTTCTGTGTGGCTG